TGAACGATCGGTAAGGATTTTGGCCGGTAATGAGCGATCGGTAAGGATTTTGACCGAGGTTTCTGTCCGTCCGGTACGCGATTTGGCCGAGAAATCCCTCCAAGCGGTTTTCACCATTTTTGACCCTTTTCTTCATCGTTTTCTCCTCTGCTCCTCTTCTTAAGCTCCAAACGACTCCCAAAGCGCCTGATAAAGACTTCAAAACATGCAAAACTCTTTGGGACCTAATGCAAGCCCTAAATCCTATTTTCATGCCTAAAGACACAATTTACATGGGAAAACACATGATGAGGACTTTAAAATGCTCTCTAAATGATGTAAAATACAGACATATCAAGTACGTCAATGTTTCTCTAGCAGATTTTTTGCAGACTCGCAGGGACAGAAAATGTATCCTTGGTGCTTGTGATAAAGAGCAAAGAAATAAAGTATGTCTTGGTATATTTAGATGGTTTTACGATGCAGGTATTCCGTTCAATACTGTCATTTAAAGGAATTGATAGGACTCAGCGGAGTTGGTTTGAAACCTCCAACCATATGGGAGTTGAGAGAACCTCTTCTGAAAAGGAGAAAGAAAACGTGGGAGCTAAGATTGTGGAGAATAAGAAAGAGTGGTCAGAAAAAGGTTGTTCATTGATGTCAGATGGATGGCGTGATACTGTGTCTAAGAAGTTGGTTAACTCGCCAAAGGGCTCTGTTTTCCTCAAGTCTATGGATGTTTCTGAGGTTGTGAAGGATTCCACTTTACTGTTTCATATGCTTGATAAGATGGTGGAGCGAATTGGAGAACACAATGTGGTGCAAGTGGTAACAGACAATGCGTCAAACTACATAAAGGCTGGAAAGCTTCTTATGGCCGAGATACATCATCTATACTGGACTCCATATGCTGCTCACTGCATTGATATAATGTTTGAAGACATTGGATCAATCCCATCAGTGAGAACTGCGATGAAGAAGTTTATCTTCATGAACAGCTACATCAATAGACATGTCTCTCTGGTGAACAATGAGGAGGTACAAGGGTAATTGAAATCTGCATAGGCCTACCATTACAAGATTTGCCATGTCTTTCATCACCATGTCTCAATTTCACAAGCAGGAAAAAGAACCTGAACGCCCTGATCACATCAAGTGAATGGGATGTATCTAAGTGGCCTAAGGATTATGGAGCAAGGAAGGTTAAGCAGTATCTTTAAAATTATTGAAACATACAGGTTGAATATATAGTGGTATCTATAGATTCTCTTTGTTTTTAAGAGGACCCTTTTACGAAGGCTTTAATTGTTGCAGGTGAAGAGTGAAACGGGGGGGGGGGGGGGGATTTTGTGGGAGGGAAGGTGTACTACTTTAGGGGTGTTATAGCTGCCATGTCACCAAGGCTACTGAGAATTCTACTATGGCTGTTCTCATTTTTTAACAATAATATCATTCTTCACATGTTGGTGTATGTTGATGACTTTATCTCACTGGTAATGCTCTCTGGAATTAGTTTTTTTTTTCAGAGAGATCATGAATGATGGTTTTCATATGGAGGATCTAGGAAAGCTAAAATACTTCTTGGGAATCAAGTTTTTTCGTGGCCTTGTTGGCATTGCCTCTCTCAAAGGAAGTATGCTCTTGATATTATTACTGAAGTAGGATTTCTTGGATCTAAACCAGTCAGTGTTCCTGTGGAGCTATATCATAAGCTCGCTTCAACTACTACCCAAACTACATAATCCGCAAAAATATCGATGTCTTGTTGGTCATCTCATCTACCTCACTATTACTTGGCCAAAACTATTGTGCATATTCTGTCTCCTTTCATGCTGATGTGTTTGTCGTGTTGAGGGTTGTCAAGTTTTACCCTAAATGAAATCAATAGCCACAAGTGCACAGCTGATCGATTGTAGTAATTAGGGATCGAATCCACATGGAAGGAGGATCTTTCCTGTAAAGCCTTTGAAAGAAATATAAACATAAAAACTAATCTTAACGAGAAAATACGAGAATTAAAATGACCTAATAACTAAACTTAAAGAATCGACTAAAAAAGAGAAAAACGGCTAAACCTAATTGCTTAAAATGAAAATCGATTAAGAGAATGAAAATGATGAACTAAAGCTTGTTATAAAATCGATGTAAATCAATAGAAAAGATGCGCTGGGTTTCAGGAAAGTTTTCTCCGGGGTATGAACGATTCAAAACATTGCTAATGAGTAAATTTGATAAGATCCTAGCTAAAAAATTTCGAACTAGAGTCACGGACGTATGAATACGCCACTGTCGTGATCATACACAACTATCTCTCTCAACCCTGACCAGTAGGTTTCCACTCTGACCCTTGAAGAGAAAAGATGCATTATGTTTAAGACTCGTCAGCATTCACGAATCGCACATAGGTAGGTTTCCACTCCTAAGTTTGTTTTGCTCTTCCAAACTAGATCTGACACCGGATGAACACTTTCGTGTATCCAAGTATCTGAATCATATTGTAGTTCATGACGCTACTCCCATGCATTAAAAGTAAATTCAGAAGAAAAAGTTATAAGATTCGGCTTCAATAGCTCATGGAATCCTCATCTAACACATGTATCCTCATTGAAAATCCCTTTGACCCAACAATAAAACTACTCAGACATGATAAACGAAATCAAAAACATAGTATTAAAAAGTAGAGCAATAATTGAAATTGAAAAATAAAGAACAAGGGTTCAAGAGATAGATCTCTCTCTCCCTAAACCTAAAAACAAAAGCTTAAAGTTAAATTTCTTCTAAAGTATTTCATCTCTCTTAAAAATGAACTAAATGATAAGTATTTATAGTCTCCAATGCTCCATGGTGTCTATGATTCCGGAGTTGAGGCTGAGAAAATGATTTGGGCTTCAGAAATGAGCCTTCTAACTTGGAGATGGCTGGCCGCGGTCGGAAAGAACGTAGCTGCAGGGAATGGATGCTTGGCTGCGGTCGGGTAGCCTCTGACCGTGGTGAAATGGCTGTTGGCCACGAGTGGAAATGCTTACCGGCTGGTTTACGAGACATCTTGCTCTTTGCGTAACTTTTGATTGAACCGTTGGATGCCAAGCTGTAAAGTGTGCTGGAAAGCTGATAGTTCCATCTTTGAGATCTCCAAATTTGAACTGGATCAGACGGTGAGAAGGCCTTCAATCGGGGGTGAACTTCTGACGGTTTGACTCTGAACTGAAAATCTCGTCTTCTATCCATTTTGTTAAGCTTTTCCCTAAATTTCTTGAAAAGAATCATGGGACTATAAATAATAGAAAAACATAATATAAGTACTTGAAAGCAATAAAAAACATAGAAAAACTATTTCAAAATCGTAAAAGTGGTCAAAATATGGTGTTGTCACATGCAAACACTCGTTGCTGTTCATTGGGAAGCTGCTCTTTGTGTGGTTTCCTATTTGAAAGTTGTCTTGCTCAGGGTGTTCTATTCTGTTCTGACAGTGATTTCACTTTGACAGCGTATTGTGATTTGGGTTGGGCTTTATGTCCACTAACTCGTCGCTCTCTTTGTACATACATTGTCTTGGGGGATTCTCCAATTGCTTGGAAGACAAAGAAGCATAATACGGTGCCAACTCCTGTGCTGAAGCCGGAGTATGGCATTGACACTTCATGAACTTAAATGGCTTAAGGAGCTTTTTCACACATTCGGATATGATCATTCAGAGCTATGAAATTCTATTGTGATAGTCAAGCTGCAATTCATATAGCTTCAAATCCGGTTTTCCACGAATGGACAAAATATATCGAATCTGATTGTCATCAATTTCGGGATGCAGTTCAAGATCGTCTGATTACAACCAAATATGTCTCTACAAAAGAACAAATTTGCCGACTAAGGCGTTGCCAAAACCTACATTTGATAATTTTTTGTCCAAGTTCGGTGTTCAAAATTTCGGACCACCAACTTGAAATTGGGGGGGGGGGTATTATCCTAGATTTGATATTATTACAAGAAGAAAAAATATTGCACAGAGAATATGAAATACTAAACTTGTATAAATACTTTGTCACTGTGAATGAAAATAAACCGAGGCATTACAAAATATTTCATTGACACAAACACAATCTATTTATCGATAATAACAATACATTCTTCATATGATTAAATAAACAAGGAACAGAAGTGCCTATATATATACATATAAAAAACATTCTTCTCGAGTACATTCTTTGCTAACAAATCAGTTTACGAATTCTTGTCTCATGGCCGATGACACAAGAAAGTCGCTTTACTTAATCGTACGTAAAAGCTAGTCTTGCATCTGAACTGGATACCAATACCATAAGGGTCAAATCCAAATAATTTGTCACAAATAGTAAATAAAAACAATTCTTCTACTTCAAACTTGTACTGACCTATTATAAACTATGTAATTCTATATATAGGGGAGATATACCTCGACAACTACCCTGAAACCTTTTGAGATCTGTCTTTTCATCATGAAGATTCAAAATCCAGTCAACACCACTGGTTTGTTCATCGGCTTTCCATGAACCATGTACAAAGCATGTTAATAGCGATAAATTCAAAACCACTGGGTTCATATACACTCTTTCTTTTTTTTTTTTTTTTTTTTTTTTTGAATGAATGTTAATTTTTATTCAAACCCAAAAAAAGGTGTTTCTACATCAAAGATGCGAGCTATTAATTAAACATGAAACATCATTTGCCTAAATCAGAGTATGACCATTATGTGGGATAAGACGCAAGCCATCGTTGCATCCCTCCTTCATAACGAGTATCACCGAGTAGTCTAATCGAGCTAAGTCTGTTGCGAACCCCTTTATCAATAGTTTTGACGATCCTGGACCATTTCGTAGGGGGTGATCCATGTCTGCGTGCATTTCTTTCTCGCCAGATTATGTAAACAGTGTGTTGAAAACACATACTTTAGAAGAAACCCTTCCACCAAACCCCTCCGTTTGCCTGAAATCAGATGAACTATTTCCATCCACTCCGAGGTGTAATCTCGAATGAGAATCCCCCTCTCAAGTGGCCCCATATTCTCGCAGTAAAAGGACATCGAAAGTAGAGATGATCTCGCGTTTCAAGCTCGTCATTACAGAACACACAGTTGGCTTGCGCATGAAGATTCCAAGCTCGCACACGATCACCTGTCGCAAGTCGATGAAGCACGTTAACCAGGTTATGAAAGCAAACTTCGGATGGTGGTGCTTAAACCAGATCCCCGCAGCCCAAGGGACCTGTGGAGAATGATTTATAAGCTGATCCCGAGTTGCTTTAGAGCTGAAGCAGCACTTGTAATTGTCCACCGATGACTTCCAAAGAAATACATCAGATTCATCTTCTCTATAGCTCTGTTTAATTCCCTCAATCTCCTCCTCTACCTTATTTAACAGAGAATTTCGGTGTCATCTTCTTATATGCGAGAAAATTACGTCCTTCAGAGTAGACGTATGAGCAATACCCAAATCAACACAGCCCTGCGCACCAAACTTTGATAACAAAGGCCCCATTGACGACCAATTATCGTACCAAAATAAAGCCTTTTGACCATTGTGGATCTCCACTTTTAGAAAATTTTCTGCTAACTCCCTGCATCTGAGAATTTGTTTCCACATCCAGGATCCCGGAGACTGATTCGTAGGAGAAGGAGTCAACCAAATAGAGTCACCTCTCATCAAATTTGTACTTATCCATTGAACCCAAAGCGAGTTTTTTGCTGTCATGATCCTCCACAATAGCTTCAGAACACAAACCTCATTCACCACACTAAGATTCTTTAGACCCAGACCTCCCTCCTCCTTTGCTTGCATACATTAACCCAGGCAACCTTAGCTCTCCTCAGATTTAAATCCGGACCCAACCACAGAAATCCCAAGCAAATGCTATCAGTTTTTTCGATACACCCTTTAGGCAATCGAAAAGAGGACATCCAAAAATTCACCAGACTGGCAATAACAGATGAGAGAAGCTGTAATCTTCCTACAAAGGTCAGACTTCGAGCTGTCCACGTATTGATACGGCTTCTGATCTTATCTATGAGCGGAGCATAGTCAAGCGATCTCATCTGCTTTGTAAGCAAAGGGAGACCTAAGTATCTGACTGGTAAATCGCCAATCTCAAACAAAAACCTGTGCCTGATATCCTGTCTCACTATATCAGAAACACCAGCGATATAAGCAGTCAATTTTTCCGCACTGACCTGTAGCCCTGACATTCTCGAAAATTCCTTGAAAACATCAAGAATACCTTCCATCGATCGTATCTGTCCATCAGAAAAGATCATGAGATCCTCCGCAAAGCATAGATGAGTGAGCTTGATATTCGAACACCTTGGATGAAAACCAAACTTCCTCTCCATTGCTGCTTTATCAAGTAAATGTGAGAGAACATACATACAGATTACAAACAAGTAAGGAGAGAGTGAGCACCGCTGACGTAACCCTCGAGAGCTCCCAAAATATCCAGCTAATTCACCATTAACTTGAACAGAGAAAGAAGCTGTCGTTGATGCAGAGTCGAATCCAGTGGACAAACGCCAAAGGTAAATCCAGTGCCTCCAGCACCCTCAAAAGGAAATTCCAATCAACTGAATCAAAGGCCTTCGAAATATCGATCTTCAAAGCACAGTGGGGAGAGATCAAGCTTTTGTGATATCCAGAGACAAGTTCCGATGCCAAAAGCAAGTTCTCGATCAAGAGCCTGTCTTTGACAAACGCGGATTGATTCGGAGCAATAAAGCACAGTAGGATCTGCTTCAAACGATTCGCTAAAATCTTCGAGATGATCTTATAGATCACATTGCAGCACGCAATTGACCTGTAATCTTTCATAAGTTTAGCTTGCTCTTTTTTCGGAATCAATGCTAGAATTGTAGAGTTGACTCTTTTCGGAAGGAACCCTTTAATGAAAAAAGACTGAACTCCAATCACCAAGTCCTTTCCAACTATTTCCCAGCATTCCTTAAAGAACTCAACTGTATATCCATCCAGCCCTTGTGACTTGTTTGCGGCCATGGCAAACAGGACCGACTTGATCTCTGACTCCGATACGTCTGCAACAAGGCGTTGCTGTTCAACCAGAGGACACCGATAGCTGATTAAACCCCTAATCTCCTCCACCGTAGTCTGACGTGAATCCACAGGCAGATGATTCAAGAAAAAGTTAAAATGATTTACAGCCTCTGCCTTTATCTCATTTGAACCTGTGACCATAGTCCCATCAAGCCGCTGCAACTCTCTAATGCCATTTCGGATTTCTCTGATCTTTACAGCCCGGTGATAGACTTTTGTGTTCTTATCCCCCACATTTAACTAGTTTAGCTTTGATTTCTGTGCTAAATACTTCTCTTCCAGATTAGCTGAGTGTTCCCACTTATTAAAAGCTTCACTTTCCTCCTTTTGCGTCTCCATTGTGGGACTATTTAAGTTTTGTTCCTGCTTAGCACACAAACTATCAAAATTCAACTTTACTCTTTTAGATATATCTTTCAGCGCGTCCCGCGAAACCTGCCTTGCCACAGGCTTCAAATTCTTCAGCTTCTTTGAAAACCTGTATAAATGGAGCTGTTTGATCCCAATACCCTTGCAGCGCACTCCGAAACTCGGGCAGCTGTGCAACAGCATTTGAGAACTTAAAAGGCTTTTGTTTCCTCGATATCTCTCCATCAATATAGAACCTGCAGCGCAAATGGTCCAAGCATCCTCCTGCTTCAAAGACGCAATATGAATGAGGACTATTTTCAAGCCAATGATCATTAAACAAAAGACAATCCAGTTTCTTGCATATTAGCCCTTCTTCTCGCTTATTACACCACGTGAAAAGCGGTCCATGATAGCCCATATCACTCAAATCTCCTTCCCGAACCAAGTCTTGAAAATCCCACATTCCCAGAGTCGAGACAGATCCAAATTCGTGCCCAGAATGCTCATCAGATGACAGGATTTCATTGAAATCCCCCATGACTAACCAGCGCATATTCCGATAAATAGGTGATGAAAAATGACTTCTCAAATCGCTCCACAACTCTTTTTTTTTCCTCAAAAAAGTTCAAACCGTAGACAAATGAGCACAAGAACTCATCTTCCCTGTCTTGTAACTTTACTAGGACCGAGATCATTTGACTACTTTGGAAAACTGTAGTCAGACGAACAGATTCACTCCAAATCACCCAAATCCTTCCCAAACGATTCTGCTCATAATTATTCAGAAATGACCAACCCGGATAAACTTCAGACACTATCTCGCCTGCCCTCTCCTCCTTCACTCGAGTCTCTATTAAGCAACCAAACAGAAAATTATATTCCCTACACCAATTCTTTACCACTTTTTGTTTTCTTTTTTTGTTAAAACCTCTAATATTCCAGAAGAAACCAGACATTAATGATTTTGTTTTGTAGACTTTTTTCTTCTTCCCCTCTTCCTGCCCGAGCTTGGAGGAGACGAGTTAGAAGATTTCTGAATGACCCTACGCGCTGACTTAGATTCCCTTGGTAAAGAGATTCTTCCTTCTGGAACAGGTTTAGGAGGTTCCTTTCCAGTTTCCACCGGGATCACCTCCTGCAAATCCTGAGCATCCATCTCTGATTGCTCAACACCGTCTTCCTCGCCCTCACTGACTTCATCATCCAAAGACTTCCCCAATTTCGCTTCCTCAATACTAACCTCATCATCCCCCAATTCAGAATTCGACGGAGATTCAAACCGTGATGCAGTGACAATTATTTCCCCCTCCTCAACTGACTTTGATTTCCTTTTACTCGATTTATTTGGAGATTTAACAGTCTCCCAATCGTCCATGCCATTGTTCTTGCTGCTCGCAGAACCCCTTTTCTCCGAGATAGAACTAGACTCTGCTTTCCCTTCAACCCCAATGCTCTGTTTTTCTTGTGTTTTCCATTCGCCATTCCCTGTGATCAAATCCGAAGACCTCTGGATTACCACTGCAGGTTTTTTACTCACCATCTCTAACCTCTGCTCCACCCCCGTGAGCCTCTGCTCCACCTCTTCTGCTCTTTTTTCCCCCCCTGTTAAATTTTGTACCATCACCTTGGATCCTCAGGAGCTAGATCGATGGAGACAGTTTTCTTGGCTGGAGATTCCCTACGAAGAATAGCAATATCTCCTGGCGCAGCTTTACATTTGGCTTTTTCATGACCCCATTTTGCGCAGAGAATGCAGCGCGGAGGAAGCCATGAAAACTCATAATGTACCACCGTGTCTAGACCCTTCTTTGATTTGAAACTAAAACACTCTGGGAGCTTCTGTTTGAGATTCACCTCTACAAAAACTTTGGCCTCCTCAAAGCTCTTATTCCACAAAGTATCTGGATGCAGCTTTTTCGGCTCATCCAGAGGACTTGTTAAAAACTTAATCCCTTCCATGTGAACATCGTGCGCGGAACATTACGTACTACAACCCACATGGGCAGGATCGTTATCTCCGGTTGAGCCTCCTCTACAGCCGGACTCCATTTGGAAACCATCATCGGAATATTTTTTATGCTCCCTCTCCTTAGGACTCTTGTCCTAATCGCCACATCCGGAATCTTAAACTTGATGGTGGTGTCATTAACAACAAACACATCGATTTTTTTGGATTTGTCACCCAATGTCCATATTTTGTTTACAGTCATGTGAATGTAACCAACGTGTGGAGCCTTAGAGACAAATTTCCCAACAATACAGTCCTCCCAAAGTGGAGGAGCGTCTTCAAAGACACAATCCGGAACTTGAATGTTTTCAATTCCATCCACCTCTTCCACTACAACATCATACTTTTGAAGCCGTGATTTGTCAGCAGCCACCGCAGACCATGACTTCACTTTCCCAGAAACTGGAACCACTCCCTCGACACCAGTTCCCTTCAATATTTGCCCTCCTACATCTACACCAGAATCCATGTTCAGAGCAGGGTTACTTGCCTTCTCCCTCTGCGACTCCGCAAACCCTAGAACACCTCTCTCCATCTCCATACCAACCTTTCTCACGTCAACCACCTCCACCCCTGCCTTACTCACGACCTCCGCCTCCTTGTTCACCACCTCCGACGGAGAAGCCGCCTGCTCCGTTGCCGTCATGCCCTTGTGTGGGCTCGAAACCTCCTTGAAACGCCAATCGCCTTTGGAATCGCCTTAGGGAGCCGACGTGGCCTTTTTTCGCCCATATACACTCTTTCACCTAAGGCCATATCATCCGGAATGTTGGCCAAAGATCATGAGGCCGCTTATCTCTGGGTAATGTCAATTTTCTACAAAGCTGAGCGATCAATTTCATTGAAAAGTTTATCACTTTGCGCTTTCCAAATGAACTTTGTAACCCAAGGGTAGAGAAAACTCGACTTATTGTGGCTATTTGACTATTTCTATGTGGTGTATGCCAAAAAAATTGTCTAAATGCACCAAAATACTTGGAGCTGAAGGTGTATTTAAGGGGCTAACATTGTTACGCGAGCGGGCTAGTGGAAATCGCCAAGAAATTTGGAATTATAGCTCCATCAATTATTCAATTATATCTCACATCGAGCGGTCTCCTTACCTCCAGTATACTCTATGTGATTTCACGAGCACCATAGGTCACAACATCCTTGTCAGACCCGAGATTAAAAGAAAGTTCATTGCCGTGACTTTTCTGTCCTGCCAAGAAACCTTGTGGCAACGAGACAGGGTCTGTTTGTTTGCCTGATGCCTGCGGCTGCGGCTACAACCTGCGGGCACTGTATTCTGTGTTTTGAAAGGCTGCGTCAATAAGTAAGTTAAGAAAACCCATAACTTACTTAGTTTGGCCAAAAAAACTCAACTTTGCGTTAATTTGGTTGACTTAGTTCAAATAGTTAAACTTCATACTTTTTAAAAAAATATTAAGTTTGACTAACGTGGAACTAATTCGACCAATTCAATGCAAAGTTGGAGATTCATTTGTCAAATAAAATAGTGGAGAATTCATTTGTCTAATATAATAGTGGAGAATTCTTTGGATTAAAACGGTTAAGTTTTGTGTTTTGTTTTTACTGGGAAGGAAAACAAAAACTATTAAAGAATGATTTTACAGACTATAGTCTGTGTGTAATAGTGGAGAATTCTTTCTCTCTCAAAAGCCTATAGGTGTCTGTGGCTTCTAAATCATTACCTACCAAATTACTTTCATTTTTCTTCAGATTAATTCTTTATAATTTTTTACGAAATATTATCTACATATTTCCTAGGAATTACCTCTACCATTTTTTTTACCACTTTTCAAATTTTATGAAAAACAAAATTTAATTTTATAATATTAGAAAATGAAGTTAATTTCAGAAATTAAATTTATATTAAAGAATGAATTAATTATTAATTCAATTATTAATATATATATATAATGTAGA